GTGTTGGGGGTAGTGGTGAATAGCAAGACCACCTGAAGCTGTGGAAGCAAAAGGGGGATAGGAGCTGTGCATTTCCAAGCCGCGTGCTTGTGAGCTGTGTAATTATATGCAATCTACATATGCATTTCCACATGAGCGCTGTGACTTTTGCAATGTCTCAAGTGTTTACAGGTGTTTATACAAAGCCTTCCACATGTTCTATGAGTACATGCGAGACATGTTCTATGTATATGGCCTCATGTTCTATGTGTATGGCCTCAAGATTCTTAACACCTTTCACTTAGAACGTCGGCGATGTTCTTACCCATACGCTTAGAACATATTTGCCAGGGAGAAAAAATAAAAGATTTTTCCAAAATATGTTCTAAGTGTTTGTCCTACAGTATAATCTTAGGTCCTTTTCTTCTCAGAAACCAGCTAGGGGCCAGTTCCGACACCAGGAGAGGATGGACGGTCCGTGGAGTTTGATCTGGCCTTGGGAAAAGGCATCTCCTGGGAGAGCAGCGTCATCCAGGCAACCGATGCGATGACAACATCAATCAGACATCAACAGACTAACACTGATGGTATCAGCTCGAATTTCCCTCCCCATGCTGGGATAAACTGAGGATTGAGGATGGTTCAGAAGAGGCAGTTTGTTGTTTTTGCATGTTTCTTTTTTCGTGTTTGTTCAATGTTTGTGAGGAGGGGCGAGCCCCTCCTAGCCGTGCTTGGTATTGCGTGGCAAATCTTGGCCATTTGCCATGTGCCTACCTCAAGACCCCCTTCATTCGAAACCGACCCTGTGGCGCAGCCAACCTTGGAGCCGTGAAGACAAACCGTTCGGAACACAACGGTCCCATGGCCTCCACCCGGTCCCATGCATCCCACTGCCGCTTCGTCGGAACATGTGACTCGCATGAGAAGGCTGGCCTTGAGCTGGAACTTGTGACTCGCTCGGAGGATCACTTGGCACTTGGGCTGCAGCTGGGAAGGTTTTCAAGATCTGTTGGTCGGTCTGGTTGGTGGGTTGGTTGGCTGTTTCTGCAAGTAACATGCATGAACATCACTCACTCGACTAGCACTGGCGCTAGTCGTGTAAGTACTGCAGCGCTGGCGGATGGACGGATGGAACCCCTGGCAGCGCTGGTTGAGGTCTTCGGCAGCCACAAGGCCGCTCCGATGGATTTGAGGACATTCTTCGAAGAGCACCCCAAGGAATGTGAGAAGCTGGCAGGTGAATGCCACAAAGCCTACAGGCCTGAACATCTTGGCTTTGTACAGTTGACAGGTTTTTGAAGCCCTGAGCCAACGATCTTTACAGCTTCGAGCCAATGATTGCAGAGCTAATGATCATGCATGGGCCGTGGGGATGTCTGAAAATTCAGAAGGGAAGAAGGAGACAGACAGAGAGAGCAACATCCTCACACCCCGCCCCCGCAATAGGATTCGTGCCATGACTGGGAGATGCGAAAAAGCCACGTGGGTCAGATCGTGTGGATGGAAGCGGGACAGGGCTGCAGAGTATACTTTCTAAGATGTGGTTCTGCCAGTTTTGAGATCTTGCCTCTTGGTTTGTTGTGTGACAGGCCCAGCTTTCGGCCATGTTTGGGCCTGTCAGAGAGTTCATGCGCGCCGGGTTTTAAGCTGTTTGGAAGAAGCGTGTCTCAAAATCGCTTGAAGAGTTTTACCAGGGGAGATTCAAAGACTGGGACAATACCTCTTGTTTATGTTGTATTGGCCCAATGAGATTTGGCATGAGATCGTTTTTTTCTCTCCTAGGGTCTCATCACAGTTAGCCGTTCTCCGCATTCTCTACCAACAGGAAAATGGCCGGCCTCGCTTCGCCACCTCAGTAAGGGGTTCGGGCAGAGATGCCGCGCCGCTGACAGGCCGCGCCGCTGTAAGATGCCGCGCCGCCCAAAAAGGAGTCGAGCAGGTTGACTGTTTGGAGGTGGTCCGGCACTGAATTTAAGCCAATCACTGCCTGGTGTTTTTTCAGAGCATGAAGGAGCTCCAGGGAGTGTCCCCAACCACTTGCAAGACAAGATCCACATCAGTCATGGCCTAGCCTTGTCGGCAAAAAGTCTTCCATCTTCGACATGAATCTTCTCTTCAATTCTCTTGGAATTTTAGAGAAGATGGAAGGGCTCATCTAGAAGTTGCTTAACTCGTGTGTTCATGGGCATGCATGGGCAGGGCAGCCATCTTCCGACGCTTTTCCAATGGCTCCAAAATGGTTCCCTGAACAAGTCATCAGCAGACAGTCTGTACTTCACCGTGATGACATCTACCTGGCCATGGTGGCGGACGCTGCACGTGCAGTCGAGGCTTCACATGAGCATACTATAGCAAACTCAATTAGAATATAGTAATCTCCAGGAAAGATTGTGAGACCAAAGGGTCTGTCCTCAGTCCTCCTGCAGTAGCTTTGAAAAGCAGAGTAAGTTCATGTAAATTCAACAGGTAGAAGAGTTTGCAAAAAGAGAAAGAGTTGAGGGGATTTTGTAAGCCATTGTCAAGTCTTTGGCTCTTGATTCAGCTGCTTTTTGCAGCTGGGACTCGGCATGCCGAGCAAACCCCGCTGAGGTGATTTTCTCCCATTTCTTCAGCAGCAATGTGTACCGCCCGCACCGCATGGAAGGGGCCAATATTTCCACCGAACATAGCCCCGGAAGTGACCCCCCCTTCCCCAACGTGGCCGAGCATAGGTTCCATGTTTCGAGATAGGGATTTAACATGGCCCAACGAATGCTTTTTCAAGTACAGTAATCGTAGTTGGGGGGTTAAAAGACTGCTGCCATTTTGCGGGTCGGGTAAGCGGTGAGAGAGCTTCAGGAAGGAACACGATCTGGAACGGGTTCTTGTGCTCTTGGAGCCAAGGGAGTCAGTATGAAAGGAAGATAGGGACTTGAACGTCGCAAATTGATGTATCTTTTCTCAAGGTAGCTCAAGATGGCTCAAGATAGGCCGGGCATTCGGCTCAACAGGAGCAGAGATAAGCAGAGATAAGGTCAATTAACGGTAACGTGTTCTAACGTGGCCCGACATAGCTTCCATATTGCCGAACATAGCCCTAGTTTACGATGTTCAAGTCCCTAGCAGACACGTCCTTTAGATAGTGACTTCTAGGGCTATGTTAGGCAATATCTTCACTCTATTCCAGTCCCTTTTGAGCCTTCGTTGGGTCATGTTTACGACGTTCAAGTACCTATCTCGGCGAAGCATACTTGAGTATAGTGACTTCTGGGGTTATGTTCGACCATATGGGAGCTATGCTCGTGAGATAATGTTACCGTTCCTGGACCTGATCTGCTTATCTCTGCTCCTGACCAGCCACGTACCCGGACGTTCAAGTCCCTATCTCGCAGACACGTCCGTTAGATAATGACTTCTAGGGCTATGTTACGCAATATGGAAGCTATGTTGAGCCCCGTTAGGGGAACCTGTTCAGCCAAATGTCCGGTCTCAGTCCAATTACACTGTACCGCTCAGATGATGCAGATGATGCAACGCAGAAAATTGCATTTCTTGCATCACTAAAGGCTTCAAGATAGCAAACATTAGCACGAATTTATCTTCCAGCACTTTAAGCCGGTTCCAAAAACGTGAAAAAGCACAGGATTCTAGAGCGAAAATGCCCCCCCCCTAGCTAAAGCTTTAGTACTTGCGGTACTTGCGGTATAACGCGTGCCCTATAAAAATGCCTCGGCACCTTCGGTGCGGGCGGGCTTTGTACTGTTCTCACTTTATACTTACTTTATGTGTTGCACGTGGAGGCCCTGCTGAATCTCACTTTGCGCGAGGCCTTCTCCAACGTTCACGTCCTGGAAAGGCTACAGGTCACCCTGTTGCACGGGTGTTGTGTATAAAATTGGGGTACAGTGGGACACGACAGAACCTTTTTGACAAGCCCGCGCTGCCCCCAAAAATGCGACGATCCCGGAAGATACGGATCGATATATGTTGTTCACGACCGTCTCACTGATGTGCGGGAAGGTACGGTGCATGCTTGTTCACATGTTGCTGCCTTTCAGGACTGCTTAACTGCTTCACCGGCTTCACCTTTGATGCGCTCACCGCTCAGGCCTGCATAGATCTCAGTCATTGTTCATCGTGTTTGGTTCTCCATGTTTGTCAAGGACATGACAGGAACATTCGTGACGTTCTGAACAGCATTTTGTTTGGTTTCGAACCTCTTGGTCCATCTTGGTTCTGAGTTTTTCTTGTGAAGGCTTTGCAAAGACCGTGAGGGCTCCACATTTGACGAGGTGTTGGTCGAGCGGCCGAACGACCAAGTCGTCGTATGACAGGAATTGGCCGGGGCCATGGGCCCAACCAACAATGCATAGCACTGCGTGGCAGCGACAAAGACAATATGTCATGTTTGTTATTGTTTGTTTGTTCACGTCCCATCAGCCCAACCCTATTTTTGTATTCATCAGCTAATGATGCTAAATGCATCTACTGTAAATGCTTTGCCATTCAAAAGGGCTATGCGTCCCTTTCTTGTACTTGCAGCCCTGACCTTCCCCGCACCCCTATCATCCTTACAATCGTGACTTCACACTGTGGCAGGTTCTCAATGACTTCGTCAGAGCAGGTGATCGTTGAGCACTATGTGGACTAGTGACTAGGCGGCGCTGGCGAGGGAGGAGGCGGTGAAATGACCTCACGCACTGCCCACCAACGTTTGACAACGCCTTTGCAAAATGCAATAATGACAATGACAGGTCTTCTCTTGTGAGCACAAGACTCGTATTGCCAAAGTCTCAGGAGCACCTGTTAGCATACAGGGTTCTGGCAAGTTCGCTTTGCTTGGCGTTGGCTTTGTACAATTGGATTCCATTCAACACTCGTCATGGCAGATGTCTCCACTCGCTGATCTTGATTTGAGCGTTCGTTTTGAATGTATCCACATTCGTCCACATTATATAGTCACTATAGTCACTAGTCGAGTTCAAATTTTGGCCCCAGCTTTGAAGGGGCTGCTCTGCCACGGGCGTGTTGTCTAGGGCCCCATGACAGCTATGAAGGTTTTCCTGTCGTGGGCCGCGCGGTTCTATCCCGTGAGCAGCACAGATGTCCAAGGTGCATGGCAGTATGTTTGGGGATCGACACCCACAGTGCAACCGAATTGGTTCTCAAAACTCAGTGGTGGCATCGTGTTTTGGGCGGTTTGCTGCAGCTGGCATTTCGCGCAACGAAAGCTGTGGCTCATGTGGGAGATGCCCGGTGAGCCTGGGCAGGCGGTCAGATTTCAACGGCCCAGACCTGGAGAACAGCAGGTGGTGCTGAACATTTTGGCTGTACTTCTTCCATCCATGTTCTGCTTCGGCTGCTATGCCTTTGCTCAACCACTGATTCGCTGGCTCGTGAATCCGATCTTCACGGCAAAGGCCCGTTGGGTGCAGATTGTGGTGACTGCCTTCATGTTCACCATGGCTTTTTGCAGCAACCACTTGATGACTTCGAATTGGGTGGTTTGGTCTGTGGGTGTCTTCACCTTCATGAGCTGGGCCTTTTGTGGTCGCACGGTGGCTACCGAAGTGGTGAAGCTGCCATGCACGGGTAAACTCTGCAAGCTGAAAGGATCTGAACTTCATGTCTTGAGACCACACGCGGCATCCGCTCTGAGTTGGCCCGGTGATGATGCCATCCTGGTGCAATCATCCTCGGACCAATCGTGGCTGTATGTGGGCTCTTGCGGCCGTGCCAACCTCTTCCGTCCCGACGTGCTGCTGGTTCTCCTGACAGCCTACTTGTGGCGTATGCCCTGGTTTATCCTTGGAACAGGGAACTACAATCAATGCCCCGGATGGGCCGAGTTGTGCATGATCTTCTACATCCCCTTTGGCTATCCATCTCTCGCGACCTTTGGTTTTCGGTTAGCTTTGGCGAATCGATGGAGCATCTCTGCAATGCTTGTACTAACAGTTTGGCCCTTTGTGAACTTGTGCCTTGGAGGAAAGGGCTGCAGCACCCTCTCCGAATTATTGATCGGTGAAACCTTGCCCGAAATTTGGAGCATCTCAGCCCGAGAAATCACCTTTGATCGAGGATATGAGACGTGCTCTGTGAAGGCCTACGATGAAGGGGGTGAGGCACTGCTAGTAGCAAGTACCACAGTTGCAGCGTGGGTGCACATTATGTCCAACTACTCGTTCTTGTTTGGCTTTGCTTATGGTTTGATCGGAAAATGCACGACTGGCTGGGGAAAGGACCTTCAGGCGGACGTGAAGATGACAGTTGGTGAGGCGACAGCCTTGAGCTGCAACAGCGCTGCTCGCGCCTAGAATGCTCGAATTTCGGAGCCTAAAATCACTCGAACTTCGGAGTCTCAGCTGCTCTTTTAAGAAACCGCTCCCCTGCTTTTTGGGACGGCTGCGCCACCTGGTACTGCATGCATTTTTGGAGTGTCACAGGCTGCTTTGTACAGCTGTAGGCCAGAGGCTGTGACACTTGCAGTCCAGATTCATTGGCACATGGTTATGCAGGAAAGAGACGTGCCCCGGTGTATCCCAGGCGCCGCCCTGCCTGGGCATTCACCTGCAATCAGCACTTCCACTGTATTCATTAGATGCAGCCTCACAAAACCTTATATAAGTCACGAATCATCGAGAATCAAAAAAAAGCTCTTTCAAGCAGTCATTTCCCCATGAGGGTAACCCACTGCCATCGTTGTGGCCTGCTTAATCTCGGCATTGTCTTTGGCGTCGGCGTGGGGGCGACCGTCCACGGATGGGCATCCGTTCAGGCTGGTCACCATAGAGGTCAGGGCCTCACCATAGAGGTCATGTTATGCTGAGATGTGTTCAGTGTCCATCCTTGAGATCGTTTGGGACACATTTCCATAGAGCCAGGTCACAGCCATTTTGCCGCTGAAAAGCCGTTGCAGCAGTCCTCACCTTGGACCGATAGATGTTTGCGGTCAGGCGTAGAGACAAAGCCAGCTCCTGATGTTTCCCTACTCAGATTATTTTGGGCATTGTGGCCACACGTGACCACTTTTTGAGGCTCAAACTAGGCTCAAACTGAGTGACTATTTGTAAAACTCAAGTCGTGTCATGCGAATGGCTGGGCGAATCCTCGTCCTTTTCATATCTTCGATCTCCCTCTTCGTGGAGGGTTACCGGGTGGTGCGTGAGGCGAATTCAGACCTCGCGGTAGAGGATCCTACGGAGAAGACCGACGAGACTGACCCTGCGGACTTTGAACTGCCTGAGACTTGCTTGACATTTTGGTGGTCTGTGTCGACTGGTATGTGTGGCAGGTGGTGCGTAGGGGCTGGCGTAATTGAGATAATTGAGTAAAAACTCTGTTCCATGATGCGACTACAGTCTCTTAAAAGTCATGCCGGAATTTTCCGGAATATGCTGGATGAAAAGCCAAGGATGGCATCTACATGCTCAACTCCACTGACGGCTGCTACCGGGATGCCGCCCAATTTCCACCCGGCGATCGACCGGGCCGCTACTGGCGGGGCAACGACCTTTGCTGGAGCAATTTGCGTGAGGTCCTCGAGAGGCGGGATTGGCCGTCGATGGGTCGTGCGATGTGGTGGGACTGGGTGGCCGCCGTCGGCTCACCAATCGTCAAATGGATGGATTTGAGGGAGAAGAAACAAAAGGACACCCGTGGTTGTGGGGATCCAAAGCCCAAACCCACGATTTTCGTCAGTTTTCTCTAGATTCTCCCTTGAACGAATCCAGTTATAAGGTATAGGTCTACAATGGTCGGGGTTTGTTTCTGGAGATCGAGCCTCCCACCGGATGGTCGGTCCTCAGGAATTCTCAGCGCCGAGAAGCTCAAAGACTTCAGAATCAGTCTACAGAGCTTACTGCGCAACCAGGCTACAGATTGATGATGGGCAGAGTGTACAAACGCTTCTTCCGTGAGAATCCTTTTCACGGGAAACCGATGTTGTATCCCTTTGACATGGAATGGTACTACACGAGGGTGTTAGATCAATGGTCGGTGGCTTGGAACTGGAATTCCACGGATCCAAGCACCCCTTTTCAAGTGAGAATGTGGGACGGTCAAAATGTCTCAGAGAAGATCTTTAACGAGAAAGGTCAATGGAAGGATTGGCTTCAAATGGTCCTCGAATCTGCTATTGCGCCGGATGGTGCTTTCGATGAAGATTGCCTCAAATGTGTAAGAACTACTTGCTCGGACTCGGATGTCTACATGAAGCAGCAGTTCTATTTGGAGCGCATGGAATCGGGAGATGTGTTTCCAATCCTAGGCACCGGGCGCAATGGTACCCAGCCGATGGCCAGTCAGATGGCCGGAAAGTACCATTTCCTGGGCAAGTGGATGGCCAAGGCCTACCTTTTGCAGGAGGACGTTTTTGCGCCGGCGAGCTTCCACCAACTGATTTACGACAGCCTCGTTGCAGGAGAGCCGGTCAAACCTCAAACCGAAGCTCACTACAGCGAGCAGGATACCATTCAGGACCGATTTGTGGCAGGGCCCGGGGAGGTTGGCGATTGAGGTGATGGGAGGAGGCAAAGATGTAGGCTTGAACGTTTGAAAGTCAACACAAGGAAGAGACGCAGCAACAAACATATTCAAAGCTTATACTGTACCTATGTTAATATTATATCCTGTTCAATGGCTTCATCCCTTTGAGCAAACTGGGCTCCTGAGGAATGCGAGTGGCTTGCGGCCATTTCGGGCAACCGTAGCATGCCGGCCTTAAGAACATATGCTTGGATGACGAGCTGCGACCAAGTCAAGGATTTCCAGGGTATGCTGCTGGTATGCTGCTCCTGTGTATTAGTCATGTTTAGTCAGTTTAGTAAATTCACTTCTACACTTTGCGCACAATGACAGTCATATTGGTCCTTTCCGTGTTTTAGTCCGGCAGGACCCAGGCACCGGAACATATGCGCACCAGGATTGCTATGTGCCCCTCTACCGCGATGAGGGCATGTGGGAGAGCCTCAACGTCACTTGGGGCCTCGTTGCGCCGAATGGTTCAGAGCCATCGGATTCGGTTCCTCTGGACAGCGCACGAGAATACACACAACAAACTTGCCTGGAGGTTTGGAACAGAGACGTCGTGGAGCCGGTGGAAGCGATCGTCAAAGGCTTTCGCGAGATGATTCCGGCCGAGACGTTTTGGAAGAA